AAGAGCTTAAGACACGACTTGGGAGCTAGTGACTAGTTTAGACTTTATCCCAGGCTTTTTAATTTTTCTAATGTCAAAGGTGACTAAATTGCTATCCTGTTGTGTTTTCTGTAGGTGATAGGCTGGATTCTAATAGCGGTCATCATCATCGTATTTCTGGTTGTGACGTCTATCATCCGATGCTGTTCTCCAATTAGTTTTCTGCACCTAAAATTCTGGGAAATATATTCTCAGAAGGAGGAGCAGATTCTTCAAAGTCAAGCTACAGAGCATGCGACCCAGTTGGCAAATGAGAATGTTAAGTGTTTCTTTGAATGCAGGAATCCGAAGGATTGCTACACCCCAAGCAGTAAAGCCTGGGAGGAAATCTCGGGGCTGTACACTTTTAATCCCGAAAAACCGTTCTATAGCCTGCTGCACAAGTACGTTAATAGAAAGGAGATGGAGATGACTGATCTTCTCTGCTCTATGGAAGGAGGTAGAGTGGTCCCTGCCCTTAGCTTTGTAGATGCCTCTGGCATGGCCAACACTAATGGGATGTGATCTTACAAATGAACAGGAAAAAAATTATTTTGAATTCTTGCTTCATATAAAAAATACACGTTAGTATGTTTTATGACTGCTTGCTTTCTTCCAAATTGTGAGACTTTTAGATCTGAAATTGTAACATAATGTTTAGCCTTTTTCTTTTATTAATTGTTAAAAAAAAGCTGAAGGAAAATAATTTACCCAAAATGACAATCTAGGTTAAAGTGTTATATCTTTATTCTAGGTTTGTGTCAAATAAGAGGCATTGGTGAAGGAACAATTGAACGCATCTTTCTGTTACATTATCTGACATTAATTTCAAGGTTGGGATTTTGTTGTTGTTTGCAAAGACAAAGTATTAGTATTCTAACACGCATGACATTATAGCTTGCCTTGTGCTATAGTGGAGAGCACACTTTCTAGTCAGGCTTACTTCAAATAAAATTTATGACTCGGATATAGTTTCTGTATAAAAATTAATCATGAAAAGGAAAATTGTAGGCAATGATATTTTTTGCTTTTAAGGTCAAAGACTGTGTGTGGTAGCACACACCTTTAACCCTAGCACTCAGGAGGCAGAAGTAAGGAGGTCTCTGGATTTGAGGCCACCCCAAATTCCAGACCTCAAACAAAACAAAACAAACAAAAAAGATTTGCCAGTCTATGCTGTGTTTTTAAGATCAAAGGAAACTTTCAAAACTATCCACAACGATGAATTTAAACTGCACACACCAAAAAGAAGTTGAGGGCTGAAGTGATCACTCAGTGCTTAAGAGCTTTTGAATCTCTTGTAGGGGACCCAGCTTCAGTTTCCAGCACCTATATATTGGCTCATAACCACCTGTAACTTCAATTCTAGGACTCTGATGCCACCTTCTGACCTCTTTAGACCTTGTACCACTGTGCTGTACATACATGAATGCAGGCAAAAGACCAATACATATAAAACAAAAATAAAACTTTTAACTAAGAGAGACAGAATAATATTATGATCCCCCCTCACACATCTAGTTCTCATACATCTTCAAAAAAGATAAAAGCTATGTCATCCAAATAATTTAAAAAATATATATAACCATGATCTGGTTTAGAGCAGGGGAGTTAGGGGTTTGGGAGAACCTGTGAGAAGCTGGAGTGTAAGTAGCAGGTGAGCAGATACTTGCAGTCAGGTGGCAGTGTGTGGAAGGCTGAGGTGGGAGGGACTTAGCACTGCCGATGTTATAAAGACACCTGGGAAATCAAGGAGGGGACAAATTGTGCAGGATCTTAGAACTCAGATTTGGTTTACAGCCTATTAGCATATATTTATATGTGTGTGTGTATGTGCACGTGTGTGCACATGCGTGCAATTGTGTATGTGTGCATTGTGTGTGCATGTGTTTGTGTGTGCGCACGTGTGCATGTATGTGTACATTTGTGTGTATGCATACATTTGTGTGTGTGCATTATATTTGCGTGTGTGTACATATGTGTTCACACGTACACCGAAGTAAAGGTGGTAGAGGCAAATCCAGTTGTCTCCCAAGTAGAAACTGAGAGGATTGAACTTGGTGGCATTATTGGTGATTGAAGCAGGGAAAGTGCGTATTGTCCATAGGCAGGCTGGATTGTTGATGGGCAGGAAGGGAACACTGTAATAGCAGCTACAGGCAGAATCCTGCTCCTCGACAGTGGAAGATCTTTCAGGAACACTGGCCTTTCATTAGCTTGTTGTTTCTGCCCGTCCCCCAAATTTATGGCTACCTCCTGTATTTTTAAACATGTGGGATCTCTAAACTATAAACCAATTAAGCGTTCATTAGATTTAGCCCTCTTTCCTCCCCTGGCACGTTCTGTGTCAGCATCTGCTTGCCCTTTTATCCATTAAACAGAACTTGTCATTAGGGATGGATATCCTGTTGTGGATGGCAACTCGACAGGACAAACTACGCAGTCAGCTTTTCCCTTCCCTAAGAGATGTGTTTTTGAAATCATGCCATTTCTAGTTTTACTTTTCCTCCTTTGTTTCAGCTTTCAGATTCATTCCTATTACATTTTCTCCATTGTTTGGCTTGTGTTTCACATTTTCTTTTAGAATTCAAAAAGTTTTGGAAAATATATTAGGATAAAAACATTATAATGGAAGAAAACTATGAGATAAAATACCTCATTCCTTTGTAACATGTGCTTCTCAGAGAGAGCCTTATATCAGTATCACACTACCACCTTTTAAATGCTGATCTGTGTTTGGTTGGAAGTGTCACCCCAGCCACTGGTACACCTATACCCAAAGAGTCTGGAATGTTTGGGTTAAGGCTTCATCTCAGCTCCTGGCATCCATATATCTAAAAAGTCTGGAATGTTTGGGTGGAAAGTTCCATCTTGGACCCCCCTCCCCTTGAAGCTGCTCAGCCCAGACTCCACCTCCGAGAAAGCCTACCAAACAGTGACCTCTCCTCAGAGATGCTTAAGACCACTCCCACAGGGTATTTAATCTGCCCCCCCCCCCCAGAGAACAAACACATGGTTATCCAGTCTTCCTTCCCCAGCTCCTCTCTGAGGGCCTAGAAGGCCACCTGGGAGCACTGGCATCCATTAAACCTGGGCTTTTTCTAATTCGGTTTGATTGGGTCTGATTTGAATTATTGCGCTGGTGGAGTGGTTTATTGGGATGCAAAAACTCTTCAATCTGCAACTCTTTCTACACAATATAATCTCACCACATCAGTATACTACAATTCTCCTCAACACAAAGTTGCTGCGTAATTCTTCGGGTTAGCAGTATAAGCTTTCTTATTTTACAGACACATTTGCAAGCACACACATGCTCATAAAATGCATAAACCCTAAATTATCAAATGTGGTTACTTCTGGAAGCTAAGATTGATGTAGAAAATTGATAAAAAAAATTCTTAACTGTGTGGTGGTGACACACACTTTGAATCCCAGCAGTGGGTAGACAGAGACAGGCGGATTTCTGAGTTTGAGGCCAGCCTGATCTACTGAGTGCGTTCTAGGACAGTCTACACAGAGAAACACTGTCTTGAAAAAGCAAAACAAAATGAAAAAAGTAGAGGGGGGAAGGGAGGGAGGAAAAAAGGGAATAATCCTTATGTATTTTTGATCTTTGAATCTGTGATTAATTGTGCAATTAGAAAAGATTCATAGTTTTGTGTGGTTACTGAGACATGTAGTCAACAAAGCAGTTTTACATCTATAACCTAGGTCCATGTTTGGCAAGTTTGTGGGCTACCCACAAAGCTTGTTATTCACATTCGGAATGGAGGACTTGAAAGTTAGATAGGATGAGCGTATAAGGTCATATGGGCAGTGAAGGTAAAACTGTAGCAGGGGACTGACCTCAGGGTGGGTTAGTGTGGCTCCTGGGCTGTTTTCATTACCAAATCTCAAGTTCCCTTCTTAGCCATGTGCTTCTGTGAGCAGAGACTCAGATGTTCTCAGTAAGGCCCAATACTTTACATTTCATTCTGAAACACAGCAGCTAAGGTAACTCAGACAACTTTGAATAAACATCACGTGACCAAGACACAAAAGGACTATGTCATGGTGAGAACATGGTCATTGTCATTGGGCAAGACAGACTACAGCATGGACCAGAGAGACACATTTCCTGATTTGCTGTGTGTTTATTGGTTTAACAGATAAACTTTATCACCCTAGCTGTATGCTCTTCTGAAACTTTAATCTCAGGCGAGATACAGGAGAGAGATTATGTGGTTAAAACCTGCTGAAAGACATACATTATTGCCAGAGACCACTCTCCACTGTGATGAGCACTAGGCAAGATAACACAGTTTAGACACCATAGATTAAGCATGGTCTCCAGCCTAAGCCACAGCTGAAAATATCAATGGTCAATGAACTGCAAGTCCCTAGGGAACACCTGATGGTAAAACCCAGCCCCAAATGCCTCTGGCTTAACACCGGCTGGGAAAACCTGTTTTACAATATCCTAGGTCTTACCTACCAGGTGTCTTGTGGTAAATAATTCTCTAGAAGACAAAAGGCAGAGTAATGCTCTTCGGGCCAGCCTCTGCCAACCCGCTGCTGTTTATTTTGTCAGCTGCCAACTGTGGCAGTCTCCCCAGAGGTCACTGTTTCTGTTGCCTTGACTTTGATGGAGATCCAAACTGTTGATACCAGCAAATCAAGGCTGAGCTCCAGTAGGTGAGGAAGAGACTGCTGCTCAGTTTCCAAAACAGGAAGCTGAATTTGTGGCTCCCGGGCAAAAGAGGGACTTGCAGCGCTTGGCTATCATTGGCAAAGAATCTGAGAACTTCGTACAGCTTTTTATGGAAATAGATTTCTAGACATTGGGCCATAGGAGCGGGGTGTGTGTGTGTGTGTGTGTGTGTGTGTGTGTGTATGTGTGTGTGTGTGTGTAAATTGAAGAGTGAAAGAAGTGAAACTACTGGTTGGTTAGCCAATGTTCAGAACTGGGCGGCTTTCACGGGGCTGAGGATTTCAGTACTTAAGCAAAAGCGTTGGTGAGCAATTGGGACAGGTTTTTAGTTTGGGTTTTGTTGCTGGATAAACCCTGGCCAGCAGCAACTTAGAGGAGAAAAGGAATTGTCTGGTGCACATACATCACAATCCACAATAAAGGGATGCCAGGGCAGAGGCTGGAGGCCGAGACCATGGGGGAGTGATTGCTGCTTGTTGGCTTGCTTCCTCTTACTTGCTCAACCTGTTTTATTGTGCATCCCAGGCCTATTGCCTAGGGATGGCCCCGCCCACAGTGGGCGTGGCCCAGTTATTATCTTAGTTAAAGGAATCAGGGCAATTCCTAAATTGAGGCTCCCTACTCAGGTGATTCTACTTTGTGGCAAGTTACCATTGAAACTGACCATCATAAGCAACTTGAGATTAATAGTACTTTTTCGTCTTCTTCCTTCTAGACAGGGCTTCTCTGTGTAGCCCTGGCTCCCTTGGAACTCCCAATCTGGCCTCAAACTCTAAGATCTGCCTACCTCTGCCTCCCTAGTGCTGGTATTAAAGGTTTGCAACCATCATGCCTGGCCTCATATGCCAGAAGCAAAGACCTGTATTCATATCCCGCTGGCTGGGATACTCATAACACTTTCTATGTGCTCGAATTAGAAACTAGACACCTTTATTTTTATCTGAATGGAGAGTTTGTATCTGCATATGCTTAGGGCTGATGTGTCTCCGGATTTAGTAAACAGAACCAGAG